CCCCCAAACTCAGACCCGCCCCAAGCCCCTCCAAGCCCCGCCCCCCGGGCCTCACCGGCGCACTTGTGGGCGGGGACCTCCAGGACGGTGTCGGTGGCCGGGTGGGCGACGCGGCACGAGAAGGTCCTTTCCTGCCAATCCTCCAGCGTCACGTTGGCCCGGGAGAGGAGGCGGAAGGTCCCCGGCGCCGCGTCGGGGGCGGGCGGCTCGACGGGCGGGGCGGGGACGAGGGCGTGGCCGTCGGCCATCCAGGTGACCTCGACGGGGGGCGGGGCGAAGGCGGTGACCAGGCAGAGCAGCTCCACCGACGGCGCCGCGTCGCACGTGTGGAAGACGTCGACGGTGGGGGGGCGGGGCTTGCGGCCGCCGGGGGCTGGACCAAGAGGGTCAAGGGGGGGTCAAGTGGTCAGTGGAGGCCCTTGAGGTCAACTCGGGGTCAACAAAGACCCCTAAAGTCGACCCAAGGTCAATGGAGACCCCCAAAGTCATCTTAAGGTCAATGGAGACCCCTCAAGTCAACCCAAGGTCTTGGAGACCCCCAAAGTCAACTCGAGGTCAATGGAGACCCCCAAAGTCAATGTTGGGTCAACCCAAGGTCTTGGAGACCCCAGAAGTCAACCCAAGGTCAATGGAGACCCCCCCAAGTCAATGTTGGGTCAACCCAAGGTCTTGGAGACTCCCAAAGTCAACCCAAGGTCAATGAAGACCCCAAAGTCAACTCAAGGTCAATGAAGACTCCAAAAGTCAACCCAAGGTCAATGGAGACACCAAAAGTCAATGTTGGGTCAACCCAAGGTCTTGGAGACCCCAAAAGTCGACCCAAGGTCAATGGAGACACCAAAACTCAACTCAAGGTCTTGAAGATGCCCAAAGTCAACCCAAGGTCAACGGAGACCCCCAAAGTCAACGTTGGGTCAACCCAAGGTCAACGTTGACCCCCAAAGTCAACCCAAGGTCTTGGAGACCCCAAAACTCGACCCAAGGCCAACGTTGACCCCAAAGGTCAACGTTGGGTCACCCAAAGGGGGTTGGGGACCCCCCCCCCAAAACCTACCTGGGGTCACGTCCCGGGGGGTGGAGACCCCCGAGGTCGTCGGGAGGTCGACCCGGGGTGGGCGGAGCCCCCCGGGCTGGGGCGAGTGGGCGGAGCCTACGGAGACGCCGCCGGCTTTGAGGTCGACGACGTCGGCGTCGACCTCGGAAGCCGACGTCGGGTTTTGGGGGGTCCCCCCTCCCAAAACTTACCTGGGGTGGAGCCGCGGGGGGTGGAGACCCCCGGGGTGGTCGGGGAGTTGGGCCGGGGGGGGCGGAGCTCCCCGCGACGGGGCGGGGGGGCGGAGCCTATGGAGAGGCCGCCGGGGGGGGAGGCAAGGTCATCCAAGACCCCAAAACTCAACTGGGGGATCTTGGAGACCCCAAAACCCAACTGGGGTCAACCCAAGGTCATCAAAGACCCCAAAACTTAAGTGGAAGATCTTGAAGACCCCAAAACCCAACTGGGGTCAACCCAAGGTCAAGGGAGAGCCCAAAACTCAACTGGAGGGTCTTGAAGACCCCAAAACTCAACTGGGGTCAACCCAAGGTCATCCAAGACCCCAAAACCCAACTGGAGGATCTTGAAGACCCCAAAACCCAACTGGAGGATCTTGAAGACCCCAAAACCCAACTGGGGTCAACTCAAGGTCATCCAAGACCTCGAAACTCAACTGGAGGCTCTTGGAGACCCCAAAACCCAACTGGAGACTCTTGGAGGTCCTAAAAGTCAACTGGGGTCAACCCAAGGTCATCCAAGACCCCAAAAGTCAACGTTGACCCAACTCAAGACCCTCCAAGACCCCAAAACCCAACTGGGGTCAACCCAAGACCCAACATTGGG